GGATTTTAACCAGTTTACAGAGTAATCTGAAACTCTGGAAAAAGAGTTTATCAGTTATATTGCTTGGGAGAGAGAGGATTGAGAATTCTGGAGAAAGAGTAAAACATCATCTGCATAAAGACTGATCTTATGTTCTATTTTCTTACACTTTATCCCTTTAATATCTGTTGTTTGCCTAATTGCTGCTGCTAGTGGTTCAATAAAGATAGCAAATAGTGAGGGGGAGAGTGGGCATCCCTGCCTGGTCCCCCTCTGAAGACAGAATCTAGCTGATATTTGGTCATTCGTCCTGACACGTGCTGTTGGTGAACTGTATAATGTTTGTAGCCAGTTTATGAAGAAGTTCCCAAAACCAAATTTATGTAAAGTTGCAAATAAGACCTTCCAGTTAACTCTATTAAAAGCTTTTTCTGCATCTAGAGATAATATACTGTTGCGAGTCCCCACATGCCAAAGACAGTGGCAAGTACGGGGTCAAAAGGTGAGCCACACTGGACTGGCTTGTGCGAGCAAAATCAGCCAGCCGACAGGAGCTGGGCTGCAGGTCAAAAAAACTGTGGTCAGAAACAAGGGTCACACAAGGGTCACAGGGACGAGAGGACAGAACTGGGCAAAAGGTCAGGTTGACTGACCCAACCTCTTTGCCCCACCCCTGGCTTGGAAAGATGGGATTGGAGGAGAACAGAGTGAAGACAAGCCCATCAGATCCAGAAGCCCTCTCGGGAACATTGGCGAGAAACTGAAGAATGCTGCAAAAGATGATGTAATGACCTGTGTTAAGAAGAATGCTGCATGTAGTGAAAATGACACCAAATATTTTGTGTTGAGCTACAAAGTGTGTATCTGGTAAATGACCCCATGACCTTAAGCTGGCCCAGGAAGGGTATATAAGAACAGCTCTGAACAGCAAAAAAAAGATTCGACAGCAGCTGGGGCAGGCGACAAGAAAAGACAGAGCAGGCTTGGAGGGGTCATCCCCTGTCCCCCAGGATGGGGGATGACAGGCAGTTTTTTGGAGAGAAGCAGAGCTTAGAGGCAGGACTCTTGGAAGAGGAGATTTGGGAGAGTTTTGGGGAGATTCTGAGAAGACAAGAGCTGGTGTAAACTAACTCTTATTTAATCATTTTGAACTAATTCCTCCTTGGGGGATAGCAGTTGTTTTTTATTTACCCATTTTTGTATTTTGATTTTGTAATAAACCTTTTTTGAAAAAGAAACATAATTCTGATTCTTTCAGGTTTTCTCTAAAGCTTCACGTTTGGAGCCCTGGCCATAAATTGCACAGAGGTAAGCATATCGATCATCGGTCCCTGAATTGTCAGGACTTACTTTACAGTTTATAATAGAATAATATAAAGAAACCTTAAGATAAGGGAAGTTTTAACTTCCCCCTCCTTACGAGTAACGAGTTGTCTTAAGGGCGATAAAAACAGGATATTAGAGGTTATTTTGGCTCTGATTGCAGGTTGAAAAAGTCTCTAATCAGCTGGAAGGTTGGATTAATAAATAAATTGATAAAATTATGATAGCCTGATCAACTAGCATAAATGATTTTATAGTTACCAATCTCCCACATAAACTGTTAGAGGCGCAATTAATTCCGGGTAATCCAAACAATTGCTGAGAGGCTTGGCTTGCCTCCAGACTTCTCTCTAGTATCTTAACCAAAAGGTAACGAGTTTAAAAGAAGTGGAGTACTCTGAGGCTGGCTATTCGTACAAGTCATTTCACCTTTTAAATAAAAGACAAGATTCTAATTAGATAATCCAAACCCGGGTCTAGTACGATTAAACTCGCCGACATCCCCCCGAACCCTGATGGATGCACCGTCTCATAAGTTCTAACGGAACTGGGTTTTAATGGAACCGGGAAATGGGACGGGCACGCGACAATACTAGTTTCTATGTTTCTACTGTAAGAGAAATCAATCAAATTAAGTAATCTACGTGAGTTTGTGGATGACTGTCTACCCTTAATGAAACCAGTTTGGTCAGGGTGTATTATGAAGGGGGTTACCTTCTCTAATCTTTTGGCCAGGGCTTTACAAATTATTTTGAGATCAACATTAATAAGAGAAATTGGGCGATAGCTGGTTGGAAATGCTGGGTCTTTGCCTGGTTTTAACAAGAGACTAATATTGGCTGAATTCATGTTTGGCTGTAATTTGCCGCTCTCTTCGATTTTCCTCACCATTCTGAAAAATGTTGGAGCCAGAATGATCCAGAATTCTTTGTAGAATTCTACTGGGAACCCGTCTAGACCTGGAGCTTTCCTATTACTCATGGATTTAAGGGCTTCCTGGAGCTCCGCTGATGTTAGTGGTGAGTCCAGGACTGTAACTTGGCTGTCTGATAATTTAGGAAGTGTTATCCTGTCAAGGAACTCATTGATCTCATTATCTGATGGGTTTATCTGTGGTGAGTACAACGTTTGGTAAAAGTCTCTGAAGGTGTTGTTTATTCTTTCAGGGTCATTAACTATATTCCTGGTTGAGTCTTTAACAGCAGATATGGTAGTTTTCTCTTTATTTATTTTTAATTGGCTAGCTAAGAATTTACCTGATTTATTACTATGTTCGAAGTTTTCTATTCGTAGTCTTTGTGCTAAAAATTGTGTCTTTTTGTCAATAATTCCATGAAGTTCTAGTTTAGCTTTACGTAATTTGCTCATTGACTCTTCTTCTGTGGATGCCTCTAAAGACTTGATGATTTCCTCTAACTCCTGAATACGTTTGTTTTCTGTTTTTTTCCTATGTGATGAGAAAGAGATTATTTTACCTCTCATCACTGCCTTTCCTGCCTCCCGGAGAATATATGCTGATGTTCCAGGCAGGTCATTATGTTCTAAATATAAAGCCCACTCCTTTTAAAAAAATTCTATAAAACCTTCGTCTTTAAGCAGTGATGTATTAAACCTCCAGTTTCTGCTTGGTGGGATTGTCTTCTTATTTACCAGAGTTAAAGAAACCGGAGCATGGTCGCTGACAACTATGGGGTGTATCTCAGTGTCTGAAATGTCAGCCAACAATGAGCTGCTGACTAGAAAATAATCCAAACGTGAATGAGAGTGATGGACGTGCGAGAAAAAAGTATACTCTCTACGGTTAGGATGAAGAGATCGCCATGCATCACAAAGCCCATAATCACTCATGTACTGTTTAACTATATTAGTGGATTGCCAATTGCGCTGAGTCCCAGCTGTACTGAGCCTGTCTGTTAAGGAATTCATCCAAAAATTAAAATCACCTCCAAGTATAAGTGGACAGTCCAAGTGTTCGGAGAGTACAGAGAAAAAATTATGAAAGAATGGAGGGTCATCAATATTTGGACAATATATGCTGACAATACATAAGCTTTGGTTCTGTACAGATATTTTTAACATTATAAATCTACCCTCTGGATCAAAGACTGTGTCCAGTACTGTGAAATTGATGTTTTTGTGTATTAAAATAGCTACACCTCTTTGCCTAGAGTTATAGCAGGCAGAGAACATGCTGGGAAACTCAGGTGTTTTAAGTTCATCTGCGGATGTGGCAGATCTATGAGTCTCTTGTAACAATATTACGTCTGCTTGCACTCTCTTTAGCTGATCAAAAATCTTTAATCTTTTCTCTATGGAGCCAGCTCCATGTACGTTCCATGAGACAAATCTTAGTGCACCCATAGATGTGTGTGTGAGTAGCTAAATTATGACGCCTTCATGTGAATAAGATGGAATAAGTATCTAAATGAATAAAATAGTATGTTAATAAATAACAGAAAAGTAAATAATAATAATAATAATAAAGATCCAACAGTGTTTGTGGTTGTTTTATTTGACGCATAAATTATGATATTTATTGTGCTGTGAATTTAAATATATCTGTGTGTGTGTGTGTGTGTGTGCGCGTGTGTGTGTGTGTGCGTGTGTGTGTGTTGAGTCTGACGCAGTGTTGGAAAGTTGTGTGGTTGTGCCGTACAGGTGTTAAGGTGCAGAAGCAGGTAAAAAGGAAGGGAAAATACAGATACAGGTTAAAAAAGAAGAAAGAACTAAAAAGAAAAGGTGATGGGGTGTGAGGTGGTGAAGAACAGGTGATCTTATCATCAACAATACGGATTTAGCAGCTGTTTAATCCTGACGTGATCAAACCCAGTGAATCCTGATAAGAATAATAAATGTCTGACCTGATGTTGGGCTAATACAGCCAGTCAGTCACTCCTCGCTCCTTGTAAAGCTTATTGTCCACATAAAGCTTATCCACCGAGATGACAGCTCTCTTCCGATCCTGGATAAACTTTTTACGCAGCGGAAAGAGGACCCGGCGCCGATCCAGAATTTCCTTCGGGAACTGACCATTGACGCTGAAATCTTTCCCTTTGAGCTCTCTTCCGTGACTTTTAACAAGATCCTTCTGCTTAAAATGTTCAAATTTAGCCACGATGGGACGAGGTCTTCTGCTGTCCCTTTTTTTAGCTCCAAGGCGATGTACCCAGTGAAAGGTGATGTTTTGTACCTTTTCTTCGGGTACCTTCATTTCTGTCTGGAGAAAGTTCTTTATTGTTTGCTCAAAGTTCTCCGCCCCTCCCGCCTGCTCCGGCAGGCCTGCGAACACCAGATTATCCCTCATGCTGCGGGCCTGAAGGTCCAAAACCGTCTTCTTCAGAATCTTGTTGTCCTGGGTGATCTGCGTCATTCCCTCTTCAAGGGAAGAAACGGACTCCCGCAGAGACGCGTTCTCAGCAGCGAGCCGCTCAACCTGCTCCTGGCTGAACTCCAGAGATGTTCGGAGGTTTTGAAACTCCTGGTGTAGAACCTCGAGCAGATGAAGTCGCCCCTCAAATCCCAGAAGCTGTTTATCAATAGAATCTAATAATTCTAATATGTCCTTCCGGGGAGATGAGGCCTCAGGCGAGTCCTGAGGACGTCTCCTCTTGGTCCCAGCAGGTGTTTCAGCCTCAGCTGCTGATTTCTTCGGACCCATAACGAATAACTCAAAAACTTTGTCAATATAATTTAACAAACTTTCTAAATTTCCTTCACTTACCTCCAGATTGAGTGAGTTATACTTACCAGATGATATTTTCGTTGTCAGTGGTTAAATTAGGCAAAAATGCATCTAAATTGTTTGTGGATGTTTGCTAACGAGCTGCCATCAACTTCAAACGCTGCTGTGTCCGGTGATCGGCCGTCAGCGCATGCGCATCTCACACCTCTCTGCGCCCCACAATGCGACTCTAAAAATGGTCTCAACGCAGAAGTACCAAAAATTGCAGTTCCACCCTCATCCGCTGGGGGCTGGTGTCAGTAGCGATCAAATCCTCATTGACTCCCATGTTAAAAATACCAATTTCACAGCAGAAATAGACATGTTTACAGCCTGGTACCGAAACATGTTTTTTGTTTAAATTATCTAGTTTACACCATAGACATACTGGACAATAAAAAAGTATTAAATCGGTAAGTTTATAATTTATTTCCGTAATGAAAACATTTTGCTTTGAGCAAGTTTTCAGTACCGTATTTTCCGGGCTATCGCTCCTGAGTCGCACCAGCCATTAAATGTATAATGAAGAAGAGAAAATATATTTAAGTCGTATTTTGGGGGGACATTTTATTATTTTTCTTACAAAATCTGAGACCAAGCGTTTCACATTGCAAGACAAGCACCGGTAACCATAACAGAATGAACAACGCGGGCGCAGCACCACGCCATGGTCTCCAGCCAGCAGAGGAGAGGATGGCGGTGTTTCAAACCCTCCCGGCCGGCGAGGAGAGCTCATTCCTGGGCTGGAGCCGGCCCTCAGCACCCCACCACAGGCTCCAACAGATGCTGGCGGTGTTTGAAACCCTCCCAGTGGGACAGGGGAAATCATTCTTGGGTCGGAGTCGGCTCGCAGCAGCGCACCACATTCTCCAGTCGAGGAAGGCGGTTTTTGAAACCCTCCCAGCGGGACGGGGAACTCATTCTTGGGCGGGTCGGAGTCGGCCCGCAGCAGCGCGGTGTAGCCTACATATTTTGTTATATAAGTCGCTCCGGAGTATAAGTAGCAGGACCGGCCAGACTATGTAAAAAAGTGTGAGTTATGGTCCGGAAAATACGGCAGTTATTAGTATTCGAGCTAAATTAGCAGCCTAAATACATTTCATATATTTCCAAAATGTAATACCTGTTTGTATCTTGTACAGCCAAGTAGCCTTTATTCTGGACTCAGTACAATTTACCAAAAGTAAAAAGACATTATACAGATGAAGAAAGCACAAGCACTGGAAGACAGGGAATTATCATGAGAACCAGAACAAGAGAGCCTGATAACAGTCATGTGAAAATAACAGTTAAAAAGTATGTATGTGTAATAGAAATAAAAAACATATTAGAATTAGTGTAACTCACTGTGATCCAAACAATAAATCAGCCATAGCTGATTAGTAAATATGACATGAGTTCTGGGAGTTTTTAAGTTTCATTCTTTTATTACATTTTTTTCTTAGATCTGTTAAAAGGTCACCATGGCAGCCTGTGTGCCTCCAACATCAGCTACACAACGCAGCAAGTGTAAGTTCCAAGTACCTGTCTTGACCACTTCATGTGTGGTTTTGTACTTTAAACAATTATGACAAACCTGTTATTTTTTCTCCATAGCCATTTGGATCATTGGAGACAGCTACGTGAGGCGTGGTGCCCAGAGAGCTGCAGAGACCGTCGGAGACAACCTTTTAATATTTTACGTTTTTTTTAATGTGTCGACACTTTGTGCCCTGTTGTTTTATAAAATGTAGTGTAAAAAATAAATGTTTTTGCTCAATTACTGGAATTTCTTTGGTTAAGACTACAAAGTGAGGAATAATCATTTACAAGTTATTTGTACAACAGGCCCATTTTAAATCCCAACAGTTTCTTAGCAGCCAATAGAAATGTGTTCTTTACTAACTTTACTTGGTTTAAAAATCTTACTAAAATAGAGTGCTGTATTGCAAAACCAAATCATACTTGTTATGTAAATTATCGCTTTGTAGATATTTTTTACAGATAGATATTTGTGTGCAAAAAACAAACAAACAAAGAATTTGTCGTTCTTTACTGAATAAACAACAAAATACTGGTATACAGAAAGTGTGGGGAAATGATAACGTGAAAGTATTGCTCTTTAAATGAAATACTACTTATTTTTGAATAGAACAACTAAAAATGTCCTGTACAGCAACATGACAGAAGAATGGTGGTCTGTCTGTCAGAATGTGCTGAACAGATTTGCTCTATCAAGAGGAGCCTTAATGTGTTCGAGGTTCCCTTTGAGTAATATGGATTTGGGTTATGTATCGCCACATCAGCATGTAAATGCTGAACCAATCTGGAATAAAGACTGCTGATAGAGGATAAAAAGTAAATAAGAGAAAAATTAATACAACTAGGGAACCAACATAAAACCAGCAGCTGCACCTGTGAAGAAACATTTCTAAGAGTCATCAAGAAAACGTGGGATTAACAACTATAAACATGTAAACCATGAACCACAAACATCATGAACAACAAACATCAACAAGCATGTGTTCGTGCGTGTGCTGGGATGTGAAGTGTTAGACCTCGAAGGATCAGGTGCACTCTGGAACAGCCCCAAGCACCAGAAAACCTTGCTACAGAGAACTCAGCAAGGCCACATCCAGAACCGGGCTGACACAGGTCATGGGCCACATGGCAAAGGAATCACACAGCATTCCCACCTGAAACAGAATCATTAAAATTAGAATCAAATACAACAGTTGTTCAGTATGACATCAAATGGATTTTTAAAGAAGGCAATTGGACTTCTTTGGTTTCATGAATATAGGACGGTTGATCTTAAGCCTGATTCATGCTTCTCCTGCGTCAGTGCGGAGACACGCAACTCCATTATCCGTCCTTGCGTAGGGCCCCAGCAGGCACGCAAGTACGAACGAAGTCGAGCCCACTTTTTTAAACATCCGTTTAACGAGACGGACAGCGCAAGCTTGTGATTGGTCAGGATGCCGTTGTCGTCTACAGTGCCACCATTGCGCACTCAAAAACAAAGAGCCGAGGATAACTAGCGACAGACACGGAGAAACTTGAAGAACAACTTGCAAAAAAACTCTAAAAACATGAACGTTTTTATTCCCCGTGACTGGAGGAGTGAAACGATGCACAGCAAGCGTTTTATTTGTAGACGGAAATGACAGGAATCGTGGGTTTAGAGGTGGCAAGCCCATGAAGAGGTGTAGGAGAATGAGACAAATTTGTCTGTTAAAAAGTCTCTTATGTACAAAAAACACAATATCATCACACTATTTTGGACAAATACATGACAGGATACCACAGAACAGCTCTCCGCCCTCTGCTGTCCGGTCCAGGAATTGCTTTGCAACACTCCCCAGGAGACAGAGAAGTATGAGAGCTAAACATCTCCGTCCGTGTGTGCGTGTCTCTCCCTGTTGGAGCTGACTGAGAAGCATGAATCAGGCTTTATTGTAGCTGTCAATTGTTGCTTGATAAGCAGAAACTGTCACCTTCAAAACATCTCCTCTGCACAGGTGTTTCTTTGTAATTAGGAAGAGGAATAAAGTTAAACAGGTCAGCAGGTAAAAGATCAGCTTACATTAATTTCACCATTAGAACAAAGGATGTTGTGTAGGCGTGAGATCACCAAAGATGATAGGATCTTTTAAATCTTACTTTCAGATCAGCTGTTGACATTCAGCTGCTGCAACTGGGGTGGTGGCAGGAACTCAACCGCAGAGAGAAAATGAATACCTGCTAGGAACAAAATAGAACAAACAAACCGAAAACCCCATACTGCTGGGATTCAACAATACAGCTTATCTGTGCAATAACATATAAAAATGATTTTAGTTTTAAGATATTTTATGTTTTTCTTCAATGAAACATCAAGCTATCAAGAAATTTGTCATCAAATATATTTCAGAAAACTGAGAAGGTTGCATATGCATGTTGCATGCTGTAACTTTTACTCTGAACTTTATCAAGTGTTCACTTACATAAATGTTAGAATATCACCTTAGGTCCCGTTCATGCAGACTTTTAGGGATAGATAGTAACATATAGATAGTAAATGAAACAGTGCCTGACTGTTTAAAGTCCATTTACAACTTAGTGTAGCATCCTGTATGTTGGGGTCAAACTTCAAGGATAAAGAGCTTCGTCAGTGTATACTTAGGCCCCGTTCATGCAGGCTCTAAGTAACATTTAAATGGATGTCCAATAAAAGGAGGGCTCTTCATATGTTATGTTCTGTCTGCAAATATCAGAAAAATGTTCATGTCACAACTTCTGACAAGCACATAACAAAATGTACAGACAGACTAATAGATATGACGAGGACAGCTTTTCTCTAATCTCCATAAAAATGGATCAATTTTGTGAGCTTCTTGCGGACAGTTTTGCCTTCTTTTATCCGGTCCGTCTCCTGCCGTGCTATATGATTTAATCTATTTTATCCGGTCCGTCTCCTGCCGTGCTATATGATTTAATCAAATTTTGCAGTACCACGCTGAAGCCATCTTTACAAGCACATGGACATGATTACTTTCTTCTGAAGAATTTTGGTGACACTTCAAAGAAGAAATTCTTGCCTTCAGTCTCCTTGTCTTCCAGGATTGCAATCTAAGCTTTTTTTGAACTACGCATACCTTTTCATTTGCCGACAGAACTTTCCTTTTAAGCGTTTTGGGAGACTCTGTGATCTGATAGCAATGGTCACTCAGGATGCTATTTGGCTGTAATAACTGACCAGAGTCTGAGTCATTCTGGTGTTGAACACTGTGACCAGAATGAGCAGTATAACACTCAACTGCTTGCAGAGGAATGGCAATGTGTTACATTTTGAGTAACAAAGACCTCTTGAGGTGACTCTTCACACATCAATATATTGCTCAGATCAACACCAACTTTTATGGCACTGTCTACACCTGCATCTACATCTGCAACCTTCTCAAAACTTACCTTGTCATTCCTACTTACCTGTTCTTCCCTTCTTGGAAGAGGTTTTTTGACCTTAAAGGACGAGAAGATTGTAGGTACGGCTGTGTCCTTCAGGCAAACTCTCCCCTAAAATAAAAAAACCATATTTACTTAATTAAAAAAAAAAAGAGATTCACATATAAACACATCAGACAAGGTCAGCTTCTGAATCTCAAGAACACACTGGTACACCAGAGCACTGTGTGTGTGAGAGTGAATGTGCTTGCGTGCATGCATGTGTGTGTGTGTGTGTGTGTGTGTGTGTGTGTGTAAAAGCCATGTGTAGTGTTTGTTATTTATAAAGCATATGTTGTTGGATTTTTTCCAGAATCGAGACTTTGAAAATATATAGTTTAATTACAGTTTGATTTATTTGACATCTGTATAATGTTTATTATTTTGTTTTTTCCCCCTAAATGCCTAACGTTTTAGTTTAACATGAATATTAGTCATTCATCCCAATACATAAAGTTACACATTTTAAATTTCAATAGGGGAAGACTGCAGGAGGGAGCGGTAAAATACAGGGGGTCCCCAGCAAAAACAAACTTTACGAGTCTGATTAAACTTGCTGGTGTTCTTTCAGTAGGCCCGGTGGCAGCTCCAATGGCCCAGTGGCTGTGCTTGGTAAATGTTATCGAGCTCAGTCCGGCTCAGCCGTGAACGAGCCGAGGCGACATCCTGCTCTGCTTAAGAAGAGGTGTTATTTTCCCGCTTCAGAAGAAGCGTCCGTGTTTTTACGCTTTCTCAGAGACATGTCACGTCGCTAAGTTGTTAGCGCCGCGTGCTAACACGTCAAAAGTGCAGCGTAGCCTGCTGGAGATTTTAAGGGTTCAGATGAAAACACCCTACCTCTCAGGCTGCTCACACATCGATATTAAGTTGTCGCTGTTGCGCTCACGCCGTAATACAGTATTAGATGCGGTTAAAGTCAGACATGAAAAACTAAATTTTACATGAAGAAGTGATGATCAGCCTGGTGGGGGGAGGAAAACCTGACCTAGTAAGCACTGGAGGAAACCCTGTCTAGATAGTCAACACTCGTTTATCTTAATGCTACTGAAACATGTAAACCAAAAGGCATTATATCCACTGCTACCTTTCTAATTTTAAACTCAGTAACTTCACCATGCCAGGCCTGCTCCTGGCACGGTGAAGTGCCATGGAGGCACGGTGAAGTCGCTGTGATCACAAGCGACAACATAGTAGTTCCCGCTGCTTCTTCGGGAAACAGCACCAACAAAAACAAAAAAACTTGGGATCTTGTCCGCGTGGCGGTGGGATTCAAGGGAAACGCTGTATGCCCTATAGACTCCTCACCGAGCTGCAGTATTTCTCCGGTCAGATCTGTCTCCGAGTCCGAGAGCTCCACGAGCGGTCAGCCCGCGCAGCAGCTAGGCGCCGCATCGTCAGGCTGCCCGGCCTGACCGCTGGGGAGTACTGGATGGAAGAATGGAACACAGAAGTGTCCCTCCAAGCGCTCCGTCATATTTCCACCCATTTTTATATTAAATGCACTGGGGTTTAACCTTTTACCCATCGAAATATGCCCTATTAATTATTTTACAGTATTTTATGTTAGGTATTTTTAATTGTTCATTATTGTTGTGAAATCTTTTCCTTTGTCTATGTGAAGAGTTCATTCACCTTTGCTGCTTAAATGTGGTTAGGAAAAACCCTGACCTAGTTATTTGTTTTCACGTTTGGGTGTTTTAGGAAACTCCTTTCTGCTTTAGGCATTTTGATCCAGTATCTGAAGTTTTCCTGTGCATTCTAAGACCAAGATGTTATTCCAAACTGGTCAGGCAGGAGTTGCACGCTAATGGTATTTGTGGGTGTGAACATTTTGGATTCAATAAAACCCCCTCCATGAGCTCGGGCTCCTTGGTGAGAGGAAAATGGCTTCCGTGTGTGATGGTCAGAGTCACTCTCACCCTCTGCAGAGTTTACACTTTGCAGAGCTTGTTGTCTGTTTAAGGTTTGTTACAGTTTACTAAATTAAGAATCTAATCCCTCTGTGTGGGTGTTCTGACTTCCTTTAAGGTAATATAAGTTTAAGGTATTATAAGAACAATAGTATAAATTAAAATATGCAACATAATAGTGAATAATGCTAAATTAACTTAGAGAACATAGATTAAAATTACCTATCATGTGGTGGAGAATGCGGGCAATGCAGAGCTGGTGAGCTGAGGGCTTTGTCTGTGAGCTGAGTGGGGGTAAGGCTCCATTTGGCTCCATGGACGGGCTTTCTGCGCCCAGCTCTCGCATATCGATTCAGGGTCATGTAAATTACGAATAATCAATCTATGCTCTCTCTCTCTGTGTGTCGTCCTTTAAGGTAATGGAGGAGCTGTAATATGGGAGAGAGACGATGGAAAGCTCCGGAGGGAGTTTGGGCCTTCTCCCTCTTTCCTCAATTTCTAATTATGTAAGGTGTGTTATTTCAGGTGACGCATATAAAAATTCTAACAGTTAATGGTATTTCGAGCAAGGTAGCAGATGCCTTCTGGTGGGAGATCGCCTTCGGGGAGCCGCATGGCCACTTCCTCATTAAAGTCCGGCCAGCTGAATTGCTCTCCGGCCGGCTGCTCCGCAGGTGAACTTCCGCCTATGGCTCTCGCTCTACCAGGACAAGGAACGCCAAGTAAGTACCTAAATTAAATTGCACCCTTTTTCTATATAACTAGTTGGCAGTGTGTTTTTTAAGCTGAGTGTGGTGACTAGGCATTCACGCACGAAAAGACGTTTTCGTGTCCATTTAAGGGTTGCACGTGTGAACCGTAGAGGTAGCACTGAAACGTGAACCGTGGCTGTAGACCTGCTGGGTTGTAATTCATCTGTGTCTGCCGGGCACAGCCCAAAGTGCTGCTGTGGGTGGTAAAAGACAGGTGAATGTGTAGTGGGCCTAAAACCGTTGTGAACCCCATATAAACGCAGCACGAAGTCCATGTGCTGGTGTCGATTGAAGAACAGATAGATGCTAAAAATCATACTGTCGCTGGGATGTTAAATAAAATTTCATGGTGCAGAGAGTTAATCATCGTTGAAATTGGCTAAAGTAATCCAAACCGTTCTAAAATTCATTCCTTGTCATTTTGTGTGTCTGCTGACTCATTGTGTTTCTGTGTGTGTGAAAAGCTGTGTTAAAGTATTAAAAACCCAGCTGTGAGCTGTGCTTCAGTGGATATCTGTGTTTCTGTGTGTGTGAAAGCTGTCGTGTAGGTATGGTGACTCAGGACTTCAAGGAATGTTGTGTGTGTGTGTGTGTGTGTGTGTAAGACAACTGCAGTTCTGAGCATCTGTGTGTGTATATCTGAGTTTTTGAGTACCTGCAGGTTCTTCTAAGTGTGATTGTGTAGCTACAATTTTGAAGTTTGAACCGGTTCTGTCTGTTTGTCTGTCTGTTTTCTGTCTGTCTGTCTGTCTGTCTGTGCATGTATGAGAATGTCTGTCTGTGCATGTATAAGAAGGTCTGTCTGTGCATGTATGAGAAAGTATGAATCTAGAGGTAATTCTGAAACGGTGTGTTCAGTTGTGTGTGTGTGTGTGTGTGTGTGTGTGTGTGTGTGTGTGTGTGTGTGTGTGTGTGTGTGTAAAAAAGAAAACTGTTTATCACCAGCAGGGTAGCTACAGAGGGATGGACGTAACAGCAATCAGAGACAGTGGTCCTCACCAGACCACTCACAGCCACTCGTTTGTTGGACTTGTGGAGGTCAAGGTCACATGTCATGTGACTGTCCCTCCTAGTCGGATGGCCCAGATAACAAGAGCCCAAAGAGGCAGGGGTTTCCAAACATAGAGGAGCCGACCTAGCCATGAGCCTGTCAATCATCAATTCAATTCAATTCAATTCAAAAACACTTTATTAATCCCAGAGGGAAATTGATTAATCAGGCTGCCTGTTAAATCTTCTAGGCAGAGACCTCATGTCAGCGTTAAAAATCTCTATTTTCCCTATAAAGGATGACATGAGAACGATTCGTGTGGCTAAAAGTTTGCTGTCATCTCCATGGGTGTGTGACTGCTGATAGAATCTTTGAAGTGATAAACTGACTTTGTGGTGTTGACGGATGAGTAAGAGGTTTAACTTAAACCAGATCCCTGCAATTTATTATTTTCCTGTTAGAAACTAGATTTTCCAGGGTTTGTGGTTGACACTAATAGATCACGTAGGATTTAGACCTAAATAGTTCCTTAATGTCCCTTTGTATATTTCCCTTTTGTGATGAATGAGTTACAGAATTAGAAGGTGCCTTTATTATAAAGTATGATTTGGTATTAATGTGGTACAAAGCTCCATGAATAGTTTCTGCTTGGTTTTTTCATATGATGTATAACTGTAAAGAAGGTGCCTTATTGCAATTTTAAAGTGATAAACTCTTTTCCATTGTGCAAATTCTAACACAGATTTGGTTTTACCAGATTCAAGTTCCTGAGAAGGCAGAGTAGCTGGGAGGCCTAATCTATGTCCACAGATGCCTTCTGCTACTGGATTTAATTTAAGAATGTGGTTTTGCTTCGGGATGGTCTCTGTTTTCAATTGGTAAGGTTCCTTCATGGAATGCAAACCTTAGCTCAGCAACCTGTTTTGTTTCATTGGTCAGACTAAGTAAATATGGTGTAATTGTAACATTTGTCATTTTCTTTGGAGAAGTGAGCTACTTTTATGAGACATATGAAAAGCTTGGTTTGAAGTACTCTGACTCCATCCTATGTTCTTTTATTTGCAGTTAATTGTATATTGGGTTTATCTTTACTTTGTACTTTCTGGGAGTGCGAATTTACCAGATTTCAGGGGGTGACAACCTAAAACCCGGGTATTAAAAGGTTGTAGTGCCTGTTTGCATACAAAACTACAGTTTGGGCATTCCAAAATAATGGTTGTCATCGTTTGAATCTCCCTGGTTCCCCGATATTCTGTTAAATCTTTATTTGATTTGTTTTTCAAAGTCTGCTGCTGCTAAAGTCAGTCCAGCTCAAGACTGGTTGAGCTGCTTGCTGAACAGTTAATCAGATAAGTGTTTTCTGGCTCTGAGCAACAAAGGTTTGTCTCAGATCTTTATCAGTAAAGGACAAAAGAGACAGAAATGTTCTGAGTTCTGACCCAGTCACTAACTTCTGAGTAAGGATGTTTTGCTTGGTGTAAATTGTGTTTTAATACTGCTATAGTAAGGGTGAGTTGCCATTTCTGTTTAAACCTTTTGCTTGTTTGATAAGCCAGGCAGATATATGGTACTTCGAGGGTTATTGAGTAGTTAGGTTTATTCTTTATTATTTTGGCCTTTGACTCACCCTGAAGTAAAATGCAGTGGTATTTCTTAGGGTTAATTGTTAAAGCCCTGTTCTTTTCTTTTGCTGAATAGTCTTTTTAAATCTAATGATTTTATGTTTATAATTAGATACTGTTGTTTGAGTTTATTCAATTTGATTTTTTAACTCCTGGATTGACATATTTACATCTTTTCTTTTACTATGACTGTTGTTTAAATGTTTTATTTTGCCTTTAAGTTGCCTGATCCGTAAACAAGTAAGAACATCCTGATGTGAGACTTTGCTTTTATTTCTTGGATTCTTGTCATAAGCAGACTCTTTGCCAAGGTGAGATATCTATCCATAATAGGTTGACTTACTGTTTTTACAGAAAGGTGTTTGGCTTTTTCATAAACCTAAAAACTTCTTGTTAAATGAGTCTTATCAATCACTTATTGGGTTACATAAACTAATAGTGTGGGTTGTTTAATGCAGTATGGAACATGAATTGATGAATGTACTTTGCTGATGATTATATGAGTTGATTCCAGCTTAGAGATGATACCCGAATGGACTATGTTGGTAAATTTCAGGTGAACTTTGAGCCCCATTAAATTCAAACTGGACTGGACTAAAAGCTGAATGGTTGTTGTTGAAGATGTCAAAACGAAAGGGCAACACCATTCTATGGAAAACATTGTTTTAACATCAAATTTCCCCGTCTAGCAATTCTAACGAATCGACTGAGTTTGCTGGTATCTGATAATTCATATCAACTCGTGTTCAAGTTTTTTGCATCTGTTATGGTTATCTTAATAAAGCCAGGCACACAGGATAAAGTAGATCTTGGTGTTTGGGTTATTGTTAAGCTAACATCATCGTATTGATTCATAATTCGTGCTCATTGACTATTGGGTTATTGACATCTTACTCTGATTTGTTATAACAACAAAAATGAACATCAGGAGGGAATGTTAGGTATTTTTAATTGTTCATTATTGTTGTGAAATCTTTTCCTTTGTCTATGTGAAGAGTTCATTCACCTTTGCTGCTTAAATGTGGTTAGGAAAAACCCTGACCTAGTTATTTGTTTTCACGTTTGGGTGTTTTAGGAAACTCCTTTCTGCTTTAGGCATTTTGATCCAGTATCTGAAGTTTTCCTGTGCATTCTAAGACCAAGATGTTATTCCAAACTGGTCAGGCAGGAGTTGCACGCTAATGGTATTTGTGGGTGTGAACATTTTGGATTCAATAAAAACCCCTCCATGAGCTCGGGCTCCTTGGTGAGAGGAAAATGGCTTCCGTGTGTGATGGTCAGAGTCACTCTCACCCTCTGCAGAGTTTACACTTTGCAGAGCTTGTTGTCTAAGGTTTGTTACAGTTTACTAAATTAAGAATCTAATCCCTCTGTGTGGGTGTTCTGACTTCCTTTAAGGTAATATAAGTTTAAGGTATTATAAGAACAATAGTATAAATTAAAATATGCAACATAATAGTGAATAATGCTAAATTAACTTAGAGAACATAGATTAAAATTACCTATCATTTTACATTTAAATTTCATGGTTAAACAGTACATGCTACAAGTTAAAGTGATAGTTAGCTAGCTACTTCGATAAACTCAGCTAGTTTAAAGGTGGCAGTGACATAAAATACAAATATAGATTTTAACTTACCGAAAAAAATGAAGTGGAGACTCCTTGGACAATCTATTAGTGCAATTAATACAACAGCAAGTCATTTTGTCCAACAATTGCACCAATAATATCCAAAACAGAATTCACTAGCACAGAGACTCAAAATCCCGAAACAGTTTCCAGGAGAGACCGAGGCTGTACTGAGGCCTTTCCACGGAGCTAGCTCTGTGGTCACGTGGGTCTGAGGCGGCGGTCACGTGGGTCTGATGCTCATTAATTATACAGAATTTTAGGCTGTCAATACACTTAAACAGAAGAGTGAGAAAAAAATTCACCCCCCTCAGAGTTGTCATGAGTGTAAACTAGATCATTTAAACAAAAAACATGTTTTGGTACCAGGCTGTTTATTTCTGCTGTGAAAATGGCATTTTTAACATGGGAGTCAATGAGGATTTGCTCGCTTCTGGCACCAGCCCCCAGCGGATGAGGGTGGAACTGCAATTTTTCTTACTTCCGGGTTGGGACCATTTTTAGAGCCGCATTGTGGGGGCTTGGTTTACACTCATGACATCTCTGAGGGGGGTGAATTTTTTTCTCACTCTTCTGTTTAAGTGTATTGACAGCCTAAAATTCTGTATAATTAATGAGCCTCAGACCCACGTGACCACAGAGCTAGCTCCGTGGAAAGGCCTCAGTAGAGCCTCGGTCTGGCTTGGAAACTGCTCCGGGATTTTGAGTCTCTGTGTTTGTGTATTCCTTTTTGGATATTATTTGTGCAATTTTTGGACAAAATAACTTGCTGTGGCATTAATTGCACTAATAGAGCGTCCAAGGAGTCTCCACTTCATTTTTTTCGGTAAGTAAAATTATATTTATGTATTTTAGGTCACTGCCGAGCTGAGCTTAGATTTTAACATGTACTGTTTAACCATGAAATTTAAATGTAAAGGGGTAAAACCCAGTGCATTTAACATAATGCTGCACTTTAGAAAATGGGTTGAAATATAAAATGTTGGTGGAGCTGGGTTCCGACTATCGGCTTGTGGAGCTCTCGGGAGACCGATGTTTTCCACCCGTTTCTCCCCTCCCCGCGGCTCGGCGCATCTCTGTCTGATCGCGCCTTCTGTTTGCTGCGCGGGCTGAAAGCTGGTTCTCCCCGCAGCTTGGCGCATCTCTGTCTGATCGCGGCTTCTGTGTGCTGTGCGGGCTGACGGCTTGTGGAGCTCTGGGATGGAAACCTTTCCACCCGGTTCTCCCCAGCGGCAGCTCTGCGCATCTCAGATCGCAGCGGCGCTTGTCTGCTGTGCGGCTGCTGGCTTATGGAGGTCTCGGAGACCTCTGTGTTCCACCCGGTTTTACCCAGCGGTCAGCCCGGCGTATCTCTGACTCAGAAGCTCTTGTGTTGTGCACAGTTAACTCCGGTTGTAGCTAGGTTGCTACCTCCGTTAGCTTAGCTCCCAAATCCGCATTAGCTTTGGGTAAGCTTCAGGTTAGCTTGTAGCTAGTTCGACCGGGTGTCGTCAGTTGATCCCAGCCTTACAGCCCACCCTCAGCTCCACCTCTCTTCCTTTTTATGGAATTGTCTGGGCTTAACGGAACCTGTGACACGGTCAAAATGGCGGTGGTGGCCACCTCCCATTTTAGTACAAAAACTTATTATTGGAGTCTATGGAAACCCATTGTCCATATATGTATGTCGATGGCTAAAACACCCAAAACCCAGCCAATACAGCTTTCCCGGAATCTGTTTACACATCCTTTCACGGTGGATTGAACCAATTTATTTCTGGTCACCTAGGATTTTCTCTTGGTACCACAAAGACAAAACAAGCAACAAACTTGTCTCACCAAATCTCTCTGCTCAGGTCTTGGGTTCGTAGATCCGCATTTTCCCAGCGACGTCAAGACCCTCGCACCGACCTCCCAGCGAAAGCTCAGCGCTGGAGGAAATCAATCAATCAATCAATACTTTATTAATAGCAGAGGGAAATTAGAGTTTCAGTACACACAATTCAGAGATCAGACATACATGGGCGAGACACATGACAAGAATTGGTGACTGTGGTCATTCGCAACCCAAGTCACACTACCTTAATAGATATAAGAGGGTTACATGAGGATTGGTTCAGGTGGAGGGAAAAAAAAGGCACTTCAGAGTTACCCAAAAAAACACCTCAACAGATATGCAACAGACTTCAGACAACACAACATATATGACTCCAATAGGAAGTCCAGTCACAGGTGGGAGGGAGGTCTTGGGAAAAGCAAAGAGTACATTGACTCCCACAGTTAGGGGCAGCGGTAGCTCAGGTGGTAGAGCGGGTTGCCTCATGATCGGAGGGTCATGGGCTCGATTCCAGCTCCCACCAGGGGTATCCTGCTGTTGTGTCCTTGGGCAAGACACTTCACCCAACTTGCCTGTGTTAGTGGTGGTCAGAGGGGCCGACGGCGCCAAATGGCAGCCTCGCCTCTGTCAGACCTCCCCAGGGCGGCTGTGGCTACATGTAGCTTACCATCACTAGCAGTGTGTGAATGTGAGAGTGTGTGAAAGCGTCTTTGGGTGTCTAGAAAAGCGCTATATAAGTTCAATGCATTATTATTATTATTACAGTTGATGACCTCGACAGGCTGAAGTCCACCAAAGGCGGGGGGGGTGGGGGGGGGGGGGGTGCAGATCACAAAATAATTAGTGACCTCTAAAAGGCTGAAAGACCCTCAAACCATGAAACAATAAGGGTGAATTTAGAACGATTTGTGTCCTTTGAGCCAAATGTAGCGGTGATCGTATTTCGTACCTCTGCAGCCCCGTAAAATATTTAACAATCAAAACGACAGTGTGTTTACTGGTGTTTATTAGGAACTTCTATAAACTTTGCCAACACGGTGGTCAGCCGGTGATGCGCAAAGATATTGTGGCAGCTTTAACGCAGCACTTTTTTATACCTATCCGCTTTAACATGGCTGCACATCACGTCTCATTACAGTGCCTTAAAGGAGTATGTGCTTCGGCCAATCTGCTGGTGGCCGCTTTAATGCAGCGCTGTTTTATTAGATCAGTCAGCTCACTCCTGGTGCAGCTTTTTTATCATAGGTCTGCAATTTCAGCCTTATTACTGCTCACCTGTGACCGTGGTGGGTCGGACCGAGAACGCGACTCAGCCCTGATAACAACCTCCTCCCGGGTAGCGATCTACGGCCACCATCAGTCTCTTTCAATCTCTATTTCAAGTAGACAGTGCTACCGTAACCAGCCGGGTCCAGGACAAAACTCAGCTCACAACAATAGCTGGGGTGCAAAACGTCTCTTGCGCTGGAAAAGCAGACCCAGGCGTAAACACACTGTCAATCAGCCGTTCATGGAAATGGGTGCAAAAATAATAAAGGTACTTACTCCCCCCCCTGCGCGGCGGATTTCCCCCGAATCTGGCGTGCGTGAGCCGTCAGCGGAAGTTTGTCTGCGGAGCTAAGCAGCTGGCCGGTGAAGCAATCTCAGCCCCCCGGACATTCAGCAGGAAGCGGCACCTCGTCAGCTCCCCGGAGATGATCTCCCAGCGTCTGGCTCAGTACGACAGAGTCACGGCACCAAAATGTTGGGTAATTTTATCAATCCAGGATTATCTTAGGGAAAGTTTTAATGCACAGGGGTTTATAGTAATCAATCAACACCAATACCAATCATAAACAATCAATATAGACTTTGCAAAGTGGAGAGGAAATTAATACACACCAAGCACGGGTCTCAGTTCACTCTCATCGGACCGGAAGTCCACCGACAGCATTTATTGAAAAGACAGGACTAGAAGGTGGGGGCCTTCTTGAGTTACAGAGTTACAAACCCACACACGCATCACACTCCAAAACTACTCCGTTAAGGCGGAAAGCTGTTTAACCTAGGGAGTGAAAACAAGGTCACATTTCCTTCATACAAATCCAGGTGCAGCCAACAGACAGTTTCCCATGGGAGTGTTACTGATAAAATCGACTTGCTTGGTCTGCCAGAAACAGCTCAAAGGTCACTTCCTCCCTGTAAAGGCTACAGAATGGAAGAGGCTACAGGATGACAAGGTTACAGGATGAACCCTGCGTTTAATAAACCTAAACATAATTATTCTTAAGGAGCACCAGATGTTTTAAAAGTCAAGAAATTAAGCTATAATATCAATATTTACTTAACAAGCGTGAGTCCAGATTCAAAATCGAGGCCAGATCGAAACTGCTCTAAATAAGTTTTAACTCTTAATACGAAAACTCGACTGGACCATGCCGACTTCCGGGTTCACGTAGAAAGTCGAAACAAAACAAAAAGAGTTGCCACGGCATTCTACTGTACTTGTTTGGAGCGCAAATGACTTGGGAACTTTGAGAGCGACGTCGATTGCTCGGCCAGATGAAAAAAGCCCAGCAGAGAGATTCTTAAGGAGTCTTGGTTCCTTGTTTTGCCGCCACAAGGTTGAACTCTGGCCTCTTATAACCTTCCTTGGTCACACCCACATGTATTTCACTCATTAACCACTAGATGGCACTGTGGCTCTTTCAAATAAACTCAATCTTCTACCAGTGAATAATTCATATCACAATTTACCAACGTTATTCCAGATGAGGCATCACAGTATGACTTTAAACAAGAAAGAACTAAATTCATGTCTTAAAACTGGACAGTTTCTCCCGTTAGCATGAATTTTAACCGGAGAAACACAAAGTGGCAGAGGTTTATCACAAAAGAGAAAAAACACAAAATAAGCAGTTAGGTTTGTAACTGATAAGATTTTAAGCATTTACTTGGAACCTTTGATTTCTAATGGTGAACAAACCTAAAACACCTTTTGACTGTGGATAAACAGAAAATACCAGGGTCTTGATAAAGACTAAATTCTGGGACCTTCCAGAACACCCCCTGAGAAGTTTACGAGTACCTAAGCCTTGGGGGGAGAGTCAGGTTTTGGCAGGTTGACAAAGAACAAACCAGTTTCTGATATCGTTCTGCGTCCCCAACTGGTACAGAAGAGAAAAACATGTCACTTGGTAAAATTTATGTCCCTGGGGGACGGTAGGTGCTACCCAGCTTCAAATTCCCCCCTGTTGCTAAGTGTGACAGGAAAAACTTTGTGTGAACCCGACGAAAGTTAAAATTGATGACATTAAGTGTGGATTTCCACTACTTATCCCCACCCCCCCACCCCCGTTGGAGGTATTTCCAGATGAAAGATGGAGAATATTTCCACAACGATGAGAATCCACATTGGTAGGAAATCAGGTTCCTACTGTTAGTAGGCTATGGTAAGGTATAACACTCCTGCGACGCCCTCGTCCTCAATGACACAACAAAGATACTCCTTTCTGGCATGGGCTCCTCTCCGGGCGTCTTCCTGAGGAGATGAACATACATGGACAGCAACCTGGTTGAAGCAAACTTTATTGAAGAGTCAGTCATACTTCTGGGCAGCATGCTGTCTAGGTACAGTGAATAAATTTCCTTGGCTCTTTTTGTGTCCTAATCTAATACAGAGAAGAAAAAAAACAAAAGGATAACTAATGAGCTTCTTCTATATGTGCAAAGTTCATTTTGTGAATAAATGTGGGTAACTTAAATCTCCTTAATGGCTTAATAAATCAAGCTAGATATGCTGGTTTGTCTACTACTAAAATTCCTATTTTTCTAGTGTGTGGCTAATCATGCACTAACTAGGTGATCAGCATGTCAGTTCCAACATTACCGGAGCATTGGTCTCGTCTGTATCATTATCATTTAATTCTGTTTCCTCTTCAAAGGTAACTAATGGGATTGTGCGAAGCTGGCTAAGGTTTTTACATTTCCTTAATAGAGTGATGTGTTTGGTACATTTGTCAAGCTGTCCTTGTAGACCTTTGGTCCTTTTCAAGTAAAGGCAAGTAATGACAAAGACTAGGGTATAGTCCAGTACTATCGCACCTACTAGAAGACTGTCAGCAGTGGACCAAGCGTAAACCAGGGACCAGGGGTTTTGGCAGGTTGACAAAGAACAGACCAGCTTCTGATATCGTCACGCGTCTCCCAACTGGTACAGAAGAGAACAACATGTCGCTTGGTAAAATTTCTGTCCCTGGGGGAAAGTAGGTGCTACCCAGCTTCAAATCCCCCCCCCCCCCCCCCCCCCCCCCCCCGTTGCTAAGTGTGACAGGAAAAACTTTGTGTGAACCAGACGAAAGTTAAAACTGATGATATTAAGTGTGAATTTCCGCTACAGTATATTTACTCTAAAATAAGAGTAAAATTCTGGCATCTGTAGCTGCCAGCATTTTACACTTATTTTACAGAGGTTTTTTTTAGGAAATAGGCAGAAACTCACCTACTGTACACTGTTTTCAGGGTGGACGACGCTGAAAATGTAAACTGGGGATAAAGTCCGGCTGTAGAACCAGTGGTGGCTGGTGAAAAATATTTTTGGTGGGGCTGTGCTATTTTTTTATTTTTAAACAAACTTGTGCTTTCTGAGCTTTGTGCACAACTTCACTATTTCCTGAATTAAGCACAGCTCTTTTATTTCCTGTCTTACATTATTGGACAAACTGATTAATCCAGGTGTGTCTGACTATTGGCACGCTGCCTTGCGGACCAAGGTTGAAAAATACTGCATTAAATTGCACATAAAATAACACGACCATAAATAGTAAATAGGCAATGCAAGAGGCAAGTAACAAAAACATTTTGTTTAATTTCAACATTTGAGTGAACACCAAAAATTATGAGCAGGTCACTGTTACAGTAATGGTAGTAAACACCACTTAGACAAAATTCCAGAAATTTACACTGTTAAATATTTCTGGAGTGTTGTGCTAAGGTCAACTTTATACAAAGATCAAGTGGATGCATTTGTGTGTGTGATACCTCATTTGTACAGAAATTTTGCCCTTCTGTCCTTCTGAGTGGCAAAGCTCTCGATTAGCTTTTTATTGAAGTCAGGAATGTTTGTGACAAGCTTTTTTTTTCCATGGAGAGCATGGCAAGAGCATTCAGCCCATCCTGTGTCATGGTGTTCCTCAAGGAAAGTCTTAATCCTCTTTAAAGTAGAAAAGCACCTTTCTGATTCAGCTGTGGTCATGGGTATGGTGACAAGAATCTTCTTTTGCATGGCTCAGGATGGTGTGAAAAACCTGTCATATGATAAATAAAAAACAACAGATAAGTACATAGGAAACACTTTTATAGCAAATAATGTCATCAGTATCCTCTTACAAATGTCATATTTCCCAGTTTTTGGGACAATAAAACATTTCTGATTCTCAATCAGATGTTTTTACATTTGAGGTAAAAACATCTAATTGAGAATCAGAAATGTTTTATTGTTCCAAAAGCTGGGAAATGTGTTTGCTGCAGCAGAAGTGTAACAAGTAAAATGGAATCAGATTGATGTATGTACAAATTTACATGAAATACACATTTACGTGATTAAATATGTATAATAAGTATGTGTGTTGAAATTAGTTTTTACAGTTATTGCACATTAAACATGTCATTAAACAAATGTCCCGGTTTGTGGGACAACCAAGGATTTCTGATTCTGATTGTCTTGTTCACACAAATGTAATGAACAGCTTACCTCTGCACCCAGCTGCTGTTGTTCCCTGCATGGCAACGTTAGCTCTGCTGCCTAGCTTCACCGTGTTGTTGTCCATGTGTGCCCGGGATGACTCGTGTTTCTTCACCTTCTCAGAAAAATGTTTCATGTCTGTAACTCCTGACTCATCCATGCCTTATCTGTCCCAGCCGTTTTGAATAACAAACACGGAAAGCAAAATAACGCATTAGCGTGATTGCATCCAGCTAGCCACTGCTTCCTGGTGTACCAATTTCGGGAGAAGCCTAGTGTGTACAGTTTACCTCTCTCCTTCTCCTGCTGGCTTATCTTTACGTCGGGCTGATCTGGTCCAAGCTCTTTGACATTAAGTTTTTCCACCATAGTTCTCCTCTCGAACGGATGCTGGAGAAGAGACCGAACTGAATTCAGTGGCTGCTGAGATCCGGTATCCATGCTGGTTGTAGTCACCGGCGGCGTCCATGTTACATCTGCGTCACGACCAAAAACGACTCTGCCGAGTTCTACCGAACACCAACGAATCCTTTGGCGGTAGCTCCATCGCCCATCATGCTTCTGAAACGTTCTGAAACAACGTCGACGCTGATTGGATACATTCCCATTCCTACCCTTTGATATTCTTGTCAGCAATTGGACAGCTGGTCTCATCCTGTTTGGGCGATTGAAAAACAGCACACAGCCTCCACCGCTCGGCAGAGATCGGCAGAGACCGGCAGAGACCAATATATATATATATATATATATATATATATATATATATATATATATATATATATATATATATGATTTATTTTTGTTACAAAACACACAATTAACTTAGAATATGTGATTATTGTTAATTTTATTTATTTATTTTTTAAATAAAAATTAAAAACACGGAAAAACTGGGAGGGCGGCGCCCTATCGCCCTCTACTGGCCAGCCGCCACTGTGTAGAACAAAGACTTTGAGGAGTTTCTTAATCCCACAAACATGTATTCCAATGAGGAACCAAAGCCAGGGAACAGATGGGTTGATCAAGCAATTTCGGAAGCAAAAGTCATTGAGGTAGTCCAACATCTATGCAGTGGTGCAGTGTTTTTGTCATTAGTGACTAAATAATTTTGTTGACGTCCCTTTCACTCATAACAAAAACAAGATGCTGACATACTAATATAGTTATTTGGAAACTAAAACATGATGAGACGTGTATGAAACTCACTCAAGTAGCTTAGAGTACATGTGTGACCTAATTTGTTAAAGACTAATAATAAATGTAGGTTTGTGTAAACTTAAAAATTAGGGATGGGCCACGAGTATCCGGTACGGATAAAGCATTTTTGACGAATACGAGCCTGAGACGAGTAAAACTCGTAAATATCTGTAATCATGCTGAAGGAAAATCCTCATTGGGTAACTGACTGTCTTCACGCTCTGTGATTGGCCAGTCACATAGAGCGCCCGCACCTCCCTACACACAAAACTCTCTAGCCGACCGGGAGCTCAGTTCGTCCGGTTCATCCACGCACACACAGACAGTAACGGATCTCGCTGTGATTGCTTCACTGTTGCTCACGTTTCTTCAGTTTCCCCTAGGTTTTCTTCAGCTCGCCTCTTTTTCGGTTGAATATTTAAAGTTACTTTTTTCGTAACTTGGTGCATTTGACAAGACAGAGCTGACGTGCTGCATCAGTCACTAACTCCGCTCCGGTCGTTTTTTTTTAACTCCCTCTCTCTCCCTCTCTATCTCTCTCACACACACACACATTAATCAACATTGTTTTGTTTAACTTTGTGTGGGAAAATGCCAAGAATGTTAAGAAAAAAATCTGTTTCATCAAATTAAAATTAAAAAATATAAATAAAGTTGTGTCTGGTTCTAGCATTTCATATTTCCTAGTTCCTACTGCATGAGTTCAGATGTATTAATCCATGCACTTAAATATTAATGTTCTGATTTTATTGAAACACTTGTTCTTTAATAGTTCCTTTACTATTGTGATCAAAAATATTTAATCTCAATTCTGAGGCTGCTCTGTAAATAGTTTTCAAATAAACAATACACATATCAACTTCTGATCAATCCATATCAATTTCAGACTTAAAACAATATATTGATGTAAACCACACCCACTTCATGTTAAACCATGCCCACTTCCGGGTTATGCCACGCCCATTCCGAGTACAGATACAGGTACAGATAATTTAGTTGGTTGAACAGATACAGATAGTGGTGTACTCGCTCATCCCTACTAAAAATCTAAATTTTTGTCGACTAAAGCTCACTAAAACTAAAAAGCTTTTTTGTCCAAGAGACAAAGACTTAACCTAAGATGGCTGCCAAAAACCAAATTGCTAAGGTGGAGCTCCAGGGGTTAATGAGGCTCTGTTATGGAAATGTTATATTTCATTACTTTAGTCCTATCAACAGATCTATTAACTGAATGTCCTGAAAGCATTCTCACACACACACACACACACACACACACACACACACACATGCACACGCACATTCTTGTCCTCCCACACATACACACACACTCTCACTCACACATGATCCACTCCCATTTCTCTCTTATCTCTTGGTATAAATAAACTCTGTGACCAACTG